GGGGGGGGGGGGGGAATCAAGTCAAGTCTAATGTGAGCCACCCTCTTTAAGAAAAAATAATAATTTTGAATAGAAACAAAAGGTGGCCAGTTTTCACTCTTTCTCTGTCACTTTCTGGAAAATGGGGGGGGGCGACTTTGCCAAATTAGGCCTCCCTATTGCCCCTCCCCTCTTGAGAAACTTACGTGATACTTGAATGGTTTCCTAGTTCGGCCTAAGAAGCATAGAAAGTAGCTACCATGAATAATACATTTTACCAGAAGTATTAATAGTTCATTTTTGTAGTATTGGTTCGGTGTATCTTATACTAGTATATCCTATATTGGAAAAGTGAGAAGCTAATGGTGACGAGGAGCTTTTTTGTGTTGGTCGTATCACTAACCGATTTATTACATGAATGACACGGACAGGATATACAGGGTGTTCCAAAGTCCAGCCCCCCCCTCTGTAACTTTTGAACGGTTTGAGATAGAAAACTGAAACTTTGGGAATGTCCCTGTCTCTAAGGACACCATCTTTTGGGGGGTCAAAATTTTGATCCCTCCTCGAAGGGGAGGCGGGGGGCCCCCCAACTTTTTTTTTTCAAATGCCAACCCCTATCTTGTGATATCTCATTCGAAGAGCATACATAACTAAGAATTTTGGCGCAAACCGCAGATCAATATCTTAATTTTTGACCATGTTATGATAGGTCAAAGGTCAAATTTGACCTTTTTTCCAAAAATCATAACTCCAGTTCAAATTATTGATAAGAAAAAAATAAAACGGGAAAATTTACCAAATTGTGTTCGCTTTTACGTAAAAATTGCAGAAATCACTTCGAACTAATTTTAAGGGGGGGTTCCGGACCCCCAAATACGTCAATTCAAAGGTCATTCAATTTTCCCGCGAAATAAGCCGATTTCCCCTAGATTTGCCTCCACATTATCTCAGTAGGGTCCAAATCAGTTCAACATTACGTTGGCAAGTCCCCAAATTTCGGGAATAGTTCAAAAAAACGATATTTAAACGGTCTAAGAATCCCGCACAGAGCATGGGGTCAGCGGCTCTCGATGAAAATCGATGAAACTTTAATAGATTGACATTAAGTTCATAATTAAAGGAAAGCCAAAAAATTAGCTCATTTTTGCGAGTAGAAACCGAGATATTCGCAATTGAATCTGGACTATTTTCTATCATGCCGCAGCATGGCAAAAGAATTCCGAGTCCCCTCTCCTCTCGTTGTTCGGCGTTTTCCAACAGACCTCACGTCCCTCACGTGAAGGTAGGTGCTTATGCGCTCGGCCGGTCCGAATGCCGTACTCCCTCCCTCTTCCCGCATCTGTCAATTCTGTTTCAGCAACTACATTTCAGATTAAACCGGCCGGCGGCGCGGCGCCGGCACGGG